GTTTATTAACGCTCATCGGCACTGCATTCCTTCCGTCACTTCCCCAAATAAGGTTGAGCCTCTGGAAGCTCGCTTAGGCGAACAGATTGCCGCAGGCATGGAGCGTAGCAAACGAAAATCGGGGCAAAACAGTTCACTTGCCGATGCCCATGTGTCGTGCGTTGCACTGGCACGTGGCACGGCACAACCAGTTTTAGACCACCATATTTGCCCAATAGTGGCGACCCCAATAAGTTGCTGAAGTCGCAAACAGTCACTAACAGGGAAAGGAGGGCAGGGAGCAGATTCAGTAGTACCGCTGCCAGCGCGAGCTTCCTGTTTTGACGACGCTTCAAAGCCTCCAGCTCCTTAAACACGCGCATGCAGCCAAAGCAAGACGGAAGGCACGATACTTGCACTAAAGGCCAGACGTTCGAAAGACGCGCCAATTTTCTTTGTCTGTGACTGCAGGTTGGGTCGGCGGTCGCGTTCCCTACCGATTCGTCGAATTGAGTGCGTCGTCTACAGGGGATCGGTGGCAGAGCGCGTTAGCGTACCGCAGGTCGGAGCACGGGAAGCAAAAGCTCGCACTCCAGAACCCAGGGATCTTGGGTCCCTGGGTTCCCTGGCTAACGGTGGTACAGTCGTCGTGTCTCACTAATATGGACCCTAATTTGATGGACACCATTTTCGGGGACAAACTGGAAAAATATATGCATTTTTGTCTCGTTATGGACAACTCACATTATGGCCAATTTTTGGGGGTGTCTATATAAGTGAGACATCAATGTACTGCAGTGGCTAAATTTCTCATCTATGGCGTATAGCGAGTTTCGTCGCGTCCAAAGGCCGACTGACCTTGTGCCACAGTGCCTAAAATGCGTCTCCGACTGCTATGTTTAGCGCATCCAAAAATTTATCAGTCCTGCATAATCCACAGTGATATTTATTTCGGCTCAGGAGAGTCGCGCTGCCGCAGAAAGGCATACCTGTGGACTTTGAAATTCGTAAAACTCACATGGCCACGGGGTTTATGCGGAGCGATCAGCAGCTTAATGTCAGCCACCGTGCGAAACGCTTACACCACACATGCACGTGCTACAGAATCCAAACTTCTCTCCCTTCTTGGTCGGCACAAAGCACGGGGATTTCGACGTGTAGGACTTGAGGAACACCTGAAAGTACCTCTTTTGAGGTTTAGAGTTCGCCATTTTTCCGCGAAGCCACCGCAACAAGGGAAATGCTACGATTACGCATGCAACAAACGCACACAGACGCCGCGCTGCTCGCCTCGAAACTGGCCGAAACAGAGAGGCCCAACCATGTCTGAAGTCTGAACACGCTGAACCAACGTGCGCCGTGAATAAACACCTCCTTTCTTTGTCTATTTTCTGAAATAAAGATGTTTTCAATCAATCAAACCGCCGAACACACGAAAAGGCTTTGGGCTTTGGATTGGTTTTGGATCCGAGGCCACTAGATAGACGGATAGTAAGACCACGATGCTGCCATGGACGGTACCTATCACCCTCTTGTAGTGATGCAAGGTACCGCCAGTAACAATTTTACAAAAAAAAAATATGTAAAAAAAAATATATATTTTTTTTTATATAATTTTTTTTTCGTAAAATTTGAAGCGAGATTTGTAAAATCATAAATTAGTCCCAATTCGTACATTTTACAAAAAATTTGGAAGAGTTGGCAGGAATGGAAAGGCAAGTTGCCCATAATGTGAAGGCTCGCAGCGCTGCGCCCGACGATGGTAAAATACTATTTTACGGATGAATTCTTAAAAAAATATGGTGATGATGGGTTTAAATGGAGCTTGTAGAGAAAGGTGAGGATTTGATGCTGCCACTCGAGCGCCTGGTGAGGGCTCAGGACAGTACGGTCACAGCGACCACATGTCACGTCAAAGTCGTTAAGTATCGGCGTCCCGTTCATGCACCTTGGAATGTCCAACCAAAAGCGTTTGAAACAAAAAGAAAAGACCATTTTGTTTTGAACATTTTTTTTGTTTTGTTCCGGAACACGGGAAAGTGCATCTCGCGACACAAGCTCTTTGGCATTGACAGTGCTGCAACGACATATTGTTATCGGCTATTTCTTGGCATTTTTCGAGAGTGCATGCAGTAGGCATCAAATATTACAAAAGAGTAAAGCTATACGCACTTCAGAGTGCACTTCGGACGAAATGGCTACACGCACTCCGCGGAGACCTCATGCCGCTCGGGCCAACCTTTTCGAACGGCGCGTGTATCACTGGGGAGCTCGTTAACACAGCCCCCCGCCTGCGTTCACGCCACTTAGCGGCGACTGTATCGGCTGCTAATTACAAAACTTAACCAGTACACGCCGCTTCACGGCGTCCAGCCGGCAACCCAATGCCCGCTGTCCCCAATCACACCTCCGGAAAAGTTTCATCGACAACATTCGGTTTTTTAGTGTTCATCACAAAGAAGAAATGTCGTAAATATCGCCAAATGCCTCGACAAAACAAAATGTTTGAGAAAAAATAAACAAAAAAACAAAGTAAACCTACCGGGGATCAAACCCTCGTCCACTTGCGTCTAAAACGCTCACCTTAACCCGTATGCTATGCCATCGCTCAAAAAACTCGTTGTGACCATTCGTCTTATACGAGTTTAGCGGAGTGCGTATAGCCATTTCGTCCGAAGTGCACTCCGGAGTGCGTATAGCTTTACTCATTACAAAAACCCCAAGCATGATGCGGGTAGTTATTCCTGTGGCACAGCTTTGCAGGCAGCGGACCCAGGTTCGATATCCGCAAGCAGTGGGCTGTCTTTATCGAGGATTTGGCACCATCGACGATCGAGGCACTACTACACCAACTACAACATCAGCAACGACAACAGCTACAACATCAAAGATGCATGTCCTTTCCAACGGTGGGAATAGCCTATAAAAGCTATCGCTGTAAAAGTGGTCCTTCGATTTCTGCTTCGAGACGTTATAGAAGTGTCATGCTGTCGCCGGTCGCGATCCTGACGGTGTCCCAGCAGCGGTGGTGTATGCGGCAGAAGCCTGTGCTGCTGCAGGTAACTCTCCAGTGTGACAGCCCACGGAAGCTTCGGTTATCAGAAGTTGGGACGCCGGGACGACAGCGACACCCGGGTTCGCTCGTGATTTCCGCCAGCATTTCTACGACCGACCGTTAGGACCACGACGGCCGACTTTTGTGACATCATTTGTTGCCACTCCGTGACCACGTTCGATGCATGGGCGAAATCCCAGGCGAAAATTTTCAACTGGGACCAACTGGTTTATGGAACAATTCCCAGTTGCAACTGGTCCCAGTTGGAGTTGGTCCCAGCTGGAATTGGTCCCAGTTATAACTGGTCCCAGTTGGAGTTGGTACCAACTCCAGCAACAATGAAACACGGCACAAAATGGAAGGTTGACAAGACTTTATTGTCAAAAACTTGGAGAATGAAACTAAATAGGTTCGGTGACGTACACGCTCCGGGTTTAGCCACTTGTTTGCGACGGTTGAATCGCTTTTTCAGTTAGTTAGAGTATTGGGAGGAGGAAATCAAAGGAAGTGTTGCTGAGCCGGAAGCTCAATATGTCACCTTTGTTTTGGGGTAGGGGAAGGGGAGTAAAAGATAAAGATAGAAAAGGGTTGTTGCCCCAGTGTCGCGCCGCCAATGCGCGCCGCCGCGCCACACAAGCCGCACGAAGAAGCCCCCCCGGCCGAGCAGAGCGGCCGGTGAAATGCGCTTCTTCTAAGTAGAAGTTGGGCTGAGTCCCACTTGATTCTTGAGATAGTAGAGGTGGTATTCACGAGATGAAAGAAGATCGGCCGCTGGCGTCTGTTAGTGAAGACGTCCTCAGCTTCTCTTCCCATCGCGTGAAGAAAGGTGCTCACCCGTGATCCTGCGTTGCGCAGGTGAAGTCCTGATAAGATGCGGTAGCGCTCCCACCTTGCAATCTCTGTCACAACAGTCAAACATTTTCGAGGTAGACCTCCCGCCATTTTCGCCATTGTGCTCTCCGCGGCGTGTTCTCTTCCGTCCGGTCTATGTGCGTCCGGTCTTTCCTGGATGCCCTCCGATCGCTGAACTGCATCTTTCCATCCTCGAAGTTCACTGCCGCCACCGTGGTGTGTGTACAGTTAGGTCCAAAGAAGCGCAGCTGTAGTTTTGACATTTTCATAACGACGCCAACTTGGGCGATGGCGACCGCGACCCTTCTCTGCCTTCTCTACCGCGTCCGTCCGACTCCGGCGTCAGCATAGGCAGCGCCATCTGTCGACAGCGCGTACCACTAATCCGCACCCGCGTGCCACGGCGGCCGGCTGGCTAACTCTGATTAGTCAAAAGATAAATTTATCTATTAAAAGAAAAAAAAATACTGTAGGTATTTAAATAAATGTTTTAATATATTTTAATAATGCACTAAATGTTCATTTAGGTGAACACATTTTGTCACTAATTATATTTTCCAATTAAAAAATTATTTAGTTAATTAAAATTTTTATATTATTTTTATAAATATATAAATGTACCCCAGTAATTAAAAATCCCTATTTGTATAAATCTAAAAAATGTTAGTGTTTTTAGTTTTCTTCATTAGCAAAGGTCAATACACCCCCAACTTGTCCAAATTGTTGCCCAGTGTGAACTGGGAACGGGAAAGGCATTTGGAGTCCGACTGGGAATCGCTCCAACCAGTTACTTTCCTAACTGGTTCCAGTGCACTCCATTCCCAAGTGGGAGTCGAACCAGTTGACCCAACTGGGAATCGTTCAAACCAGTTGACTCCCAACTGGGAATGGTTCAAACCAGTTGACCCTTCAGCTGGCCCCAGTTGGACTCCTATTGGTCCCAGTTGATTCCCAGTTGGGACCAGTTAGTCCCAGTTGATTCCCAGTTGGGACCAGTTAGTCCCAGTTGAAACCAGTTGAGGTGCCAACTGGTCCCAGTTAGAAATTTTCGAGGACGGACGCTAAGCTGACCAGCCGGAGACGCACGCATCAAATTTGGTTTGATGTCGCCTACCTTTGGTATTCATTTTCTTCTTGACCTTGATGAACTCCTTGATGCCGTCCTCGTGTTTTCCGAGTCCTTTTCCTTCGGACCAGCCCATTCCCTGCAGCAGCCGCTTCCCGTAGAGGTAACCTGCTCCGAAATCGCACGTGTCGGCAGCTGGGTCTCTGGCCCGTCGAGACGAGTAGTCCGCCAGCACAGATAACCGCGAGTCAAGACCGCCCACTCACCATTTTCCTCGCGGCTTTTCATGGTGCGCACCCAGAGTTGTCTTGGAAATAAACTCGAACTTATATGGGTTACGGAACGAATCGACGCACAAGGGACGAACCACGCCGCAACGTGAATGACGTGAATGTGTAAAAACCAGGAAAAACAAAACAAGGAAAGCATAAGCCGACTTTCGACAATAAAAATCCAAAGCAAGCCAACTCTAGAACTCACGCATGAACATGGTTGCACATTGCGAAACTAAAAGAAAAATAAATGAAAGAACATTTTCTGCTCCAAATAAATTACAAAAAAGTTACATAAATAATTTAAGACTAGAATTTTCAGGAAGTTTAACTTTAAATATTAAACAAAAGATAAAAAAAAACGTTCAAAGGTCGTCCACATAGAGATCATATACTAAATCTAGAGGAAAAGGTCCGCCATTTTCCCATACATTCTGGCTGCCGCAAGCGGCGGACCATGCAGGCAGACCTTCTGGGTCCCAAACACGGTTACATCATCAGAGCAGTTTCGTGAACTTCAACAATCCACGAACTTACCGGTGGAAAGATACTCGCGTTCTTTTCGAAGGTTTCTTTTTGCATAGCGCGCAGATGTACGGCCTCGCGTTAACGCTAAACTAAACCATATACCCGGCTTCGCTGGTGGGGCGCGGCTGGGCGCGGTTGAGGAATACGAAACTGCGCAACCACCAGATTTCCGAGATTTCGACAAAGGGAAGTTAATGCAGCGTAATGACTTTATTACTTTTTATAAGCGTTAGAATAGCTCAGAATTTAGTTTACAACGTTAAATTATCACTGTTTATATTGCTGAGAGTTTTCACTCTCCGTGTTTACCATGGCAACGTTGCTTTCTTTCTCTCGTGTTCTGTCGCTCTCTTTTGCGATCGTTCACTCGGGACCCAGGATGTCGGCGCACGGGATTTGCCACTCCTCCTCACCCACCTTTACCCCCCTGGTCGTCCATTACATTTTGTTTCTGAATGGACGTTTGCTAATAGCTGCCACCATTTTAATTGGCGGTAACTTGCGCCACCTAGCCTAAAAAATTAAAGTATGATTAACTGCTTCGCTTTCGTAAGGACGTTTCCTACACCGGTTTCCTCATAGAGTTATTATATGGGTTTCCTACGTGAGAATGACCTTCGGGAGATTGAGCAAACCCCATTTTTTTCTCACTTTATCGCCCTCCGGTGGCGGGCGATAGAGTGTCTGAGTCGTCTGAGTAGCATAAATCCCGCGGTCCTGCACAATAACAAACCTGTTCGGGCGGCTGTTTACCTCTGCACGCAGCTGTTATCTGTGCGTTCGCGTGGTCACGACTCAAAATATCTCACCCGTAGTCGTCACCGCACAAATTTACCTCAAGGACCCGAGCTTGCCGTAAGCTAGTAAATGTTTCCTTAGTCCAAGCACGTAGAAACCGGGAGCCAGAAGAGCGGCTTCGATGCGTTCGAAACGTCGCCGTCGGCTCCCATCCAGTGGCGTCACAAGAGGGGGGGGGGGGGGGGGGGGGGGTTACCGTCCCGGGTGCAGCGCTCCGGGGGAGTCGCTACGGCGGGCCACGCGAGAGAAGGGGAAGGGGGAAGGGAGGGAGGGGGGGGGGGGGGGGGGGGGTAGAGGTTCGAGACGGGCTATGGCCCCGAGTGGCCATTGCTCCCATATCAAAACCATGTAAAGTCGAGCGGACGGAACGATACTACACTCGGAGACAACTTTTCTTGGCAATGCAGTGGAAGGTACGTCCCGCGTCCCCTCTCCCATTTTGAGTGTGCGCGGGCTCTCCTCCTCCCCCACTTCCGGGGAGAGGAGGAGAGCCTGCGTACACTCAAAATGGGAGAGGGGACGCGGGACGTACCTTCCACTGCATTGCCAAGAAAAGTTGTCGCAACACACTGAGCAAGCAAGACTTGTTTTTCTCGCCCTCCCAGGTTGTTCTGCTAACTCAGAACGTCAAGCGCAATCAAGTAGCTTGATAACGAGCCAGCACTGATCATTTATGAACTCTTGTGCGCGGTGTTGTGTAAATCGTCTAACCACGGAAAAAAGACGTACCATCCCCCCTCTTCCGTCGCTACTGCACGCTGGAGCTTTTGGACCGCGAGCAGTGGCGTAGGCAGAGGGGGGGTTTGGGGGGTCGAAACCCCTCCCGAAATGAGTTACCCCCCCCCCCCCCTCCCCCCCTTTCCTCCCCGACGGGGCCCGCTCGCTGTTGGTTTTGCGCGAGGCACGGAGCAACGGGGGAGCACGGACCATCTCCAACTTACAAGCTTTCGAAAAAATTGTTTGTGGGGTAGAAAATGCTCAGATTAATAAAATATGCAATATTGCTTAATTCATGTTAATTCGATGGGATGCGGAACTTGATCTCAGATATATAAAGAACGGATATTTCAAAATATTTGTGGGGTGAAGGATGGCAATTTCAACGCAAAATTATGACAAACTACACTCTAAAAAAAGCCCGTACGTCTACTTTCCCGCACAACACTCGGAGAGCCAGTCACCGCAACTTATGGAGGCACCTCTGCGAAGGACGGTGCCGAAACATATGTTTAGACAAAAAAACGCAGTCTGAGTTGTGACATTAAGCAATGCAATCGTGACGTTTTGCATTGTTTAATGTCACAACTCAGACTGCGTTTTTTGTCTAAACATATGTTTCGGCACCGTCATTCGCTGAGGTGCCTCCGTAAGTTGCGGTGATTGGTTCTCCGAGTGTTTTGCAGGAAAGTAGACGCACGGGCTTTTCTTTTTAAAGTGTATCCTCACTGAAATACACAGTTCAATCAAACCAATGTAAACATAATAAAACGAACACACGGTGATAATATAGAACAATATCAGTAATATAAGGAATAATAAATGAATTGTAAAAAAACAATCGCCCTGTAAGCAAGGGTGGCGCTGCGCTCACGCACAGCTTTTGTGATCAGAATTACGTGCTTTCGACTAGAAATTACCACGAATAAATAGGTAACTGTGACTAGTGATATTAGAATGCAATTTACAGGTTCTCTGTATCATCTCATTTATGCCAAGCGCCTACAGATTAAAATGAAGCGGCCTGCATTCACGGAAAAATATATCCCGGACGTCCTCCGCTTGAGCTTTAATGTCGTGGTGAACATTCAAAAGCGCTATACTTCATTTCAGCTTAAATCCAGGTGCAGCCGATGTTACAAGCACGAGTTCAGGGCTGTCAGCGTCCCTGCCAAGCACGCGCGCTCGTGCAGTGCAAGCAATGTTCAAGGCCACATGTTCACGCCTGTAGCATCGGCTGCGTCTGGAATTAAGCTGAAACGAAGCATAGACCGCGCAGTGGCTCACTCGAAGTGGACGATCTCAGGTATGTTTTCAACCGTCGTAGCGAAGAGAACGAGCGCTCAGCTTCCGCCGTTGTTAAAGGGACACTGACACCCCCCCAAAAATTTTTTTTATTTTTTGCCAGGCGCTTCATTGTGGTGTCAGAGGACTACCCAATTAATATTTTGCAACAGAGTAGCGTATTTCTTTAATAAAGCCAAAAGACGCAACTGCTCGAAACCGAAACCGAAACCCGACGGAGGTCGGAGAAGTGGAGAGAAGAGAGTGACTGGCGGAAGTCACGTGGCTACACCCGACCGTGCGTTTTTTTTTTCTTTTTTTTTTTTCTCCTCTCCGGTAGCAGACGACACGACATGCGGCGTGCGATGCGGCGTGCGGGAACGCTTGCCGTGCGATTCTTTTGCAGTTATGTTTGTTCCGCTCGTTGTTATCTACTCCAAGATGAGTTGTTTTGTACATTGAGGAGTTAGAGATGAGTAGTGAGTGCCCGTGGTGAATTTCCATGATCGGCTCCGAAAAGAATAAACCCAAGATGTTGCGTGAAGAGCTGGCTCACATGTCCTGCATCCGAAAAAAAAGTGGCATTGTCGAAAGTTCAACGGGATCGGGATCAATGGCTGGCTGCAATTCCTGTAGAACATTTACGGGCACCTCGGAAAGCGGACGCTACCTGATTTATATGCTCCTTGCATTTTGTGGAAAGTGATGACATTGAGTTTGCAGGTGTCAAAACGGAAATCCCATACCGTTTAATTCAGCGAAGTATCGTCCACGACATTTGTTTGTTATTTTTTTGTTTGTTTCTTCAGTGATGATTCTAAAAAAAGAAAAAGATATGTAAACTAGAATCTTGAGGAGACGATGGACGTTCTGAAATAGTGCCTCCGGACAGAGGGAGATGTGACGGGCGCTTCACGTTTCTCCCTCTTGCATTGGACGCCTAAAATTTCCCTATTTTTGGCGAAGTTTCCCTCACTTTGCGAAAATTGTCGCTCACAGATGCGATGAAGTCCGTCCTGCTTTCTGCTTTGTATGTCAAGGTGGACTATTAAGTTAATCTCTTCGCGGCACGGAACATCAGAAACTTGGAGAGAAGCCGTCATATTTTCACTACGCACAGGCGCAAGGCTAGTCAAGCTTCTTTCCACGTTCGGCGCGTAGTTTCTTTGTGGTGCGTCATGTCATTTCTCCGAGTGACGGAACGACGAGTTCGGACTGATGACTTCTTCTTACCCCGAGGATATATGCTGCTGCTGCCTTTGGATCACACTGCAAGAAAAACGGCCTAGCAAAGATAACACCCTCTTTCCTTCGGCATCTGGTTGTGTAGCACGAATTTGTTAAACCTTTAATAGATAATAGATTTTGGTTTCGTGATTGTTCAGAATTACCTTCGCCCTAAATATGCGCCCCTCAAGTGTTTGTGCGTGGTCAGTTGCTCATTTTTCAGCGTCAATTTTTTTTTTTTTTTTTTGCTGTTTAATTTTTGTTTTGTGTGTGTGTGAAAGTACAGCTATTTTTGTGTTTTCTCTTGCCTTCACGCGTTGGTATTGCGGTGCTACGTACTTCGAAAAGCGAAGGGAGTTTTGTGTTGTGAGAAACCGTTTAAGGTTGGTGGGCCGCAATTACGACGACAGTAGAACTGTGAGCCACGTCCCGCCCGTATTCCTGTAATTGAAGCCTGCTCCGTTTTTAAAAATGACAATGCAGCGTTACCCGTTTTATCTTAACAGCGTCTCCCTAATATTTGCCTGAGCGTCCGTGTCGACTAGCTCACCCTCCGTCATTGACGGGGGAAGGGGGGGGGGGGGGGGGGGGGGGGGAAGAGAGGAGATGCCGTTGAACCCGTCCCGAAATAAAATCCTGGCTACGCCACTGACCGCGAGTGCCGCAAATTACAAATAAGGTCGTCAGAGGAAAGTAAGACGTTGATCCAGAGGCACCTACGGTTTCACGCACATTGCACTCGCAAGACAGATTCGCCCGCGGCGTCGATTCTTGATCTGTATCCAAGCGTGCGAAGGCACCGAGACGCAGCACTTCGGCGTGCCAGGAAGCTGTGATCCCGCCGCGAGACCGGCGAAACTCGGTGGCAATCAGTTCGTCGAACGACGTTTCAGAAACGTGTGTCCACGAAAAGTTGTCCACGAAACGTAATTCCACGAAACGAGTTTCGACGAAATGATAGGGACCCGGCGAAACTTGCTTTCGACGAGTTATGCCTTTTCCCATGCGGCACTGCGCTTTCGTAAAAATTTCCACGTTTTCACAACGGCAAGTCTCAACGGTTGCACAGGGTCTTAATCTTTTTCGGCGAATGATGACGAACGGGAAGAAAACGAGTCGAAAACATGCTCCCGCCAGCCTCTGCAGCGCTAGCGGAACCGCAGCTCGTCTATGAGCAAAATGGCCGTCCGGCGGCTTCACTGGCTTCACGGTGTTCACGGCTTCACACGCGCTGCCAAGGACGCGTGCTGCAGTTTGGCATGTGACGCCATCTCGTTGTAACAATACACACTATAACTCAAAGCGGCATCTGATGTACAGATGGCACACTACAGGGACCGCTGGATATAATAAACGTTTTTACAGTACAATACGATATCACCCTATCACCGTGGGCCACGCTCCACGCTTGCTAGATCTTCGTTCAAAAACCACGGCTGTCTTCGCGCAAGAGGTAAGGCGTTTACATTTTGACCAATCAAGCGGGTTCATACGTGCTTCACAGGCATGAGAGCGGGCTTTATGGGCACTAACTTGAGGTCTTTGCGGGCTCCCCGGCTCGATTCCAAAACTATGCGAATTATCAACGAAAGCTCGATATCTGCCCTTTTTTTAGACCACCTGAGACTGGGTGGAAGAAACACGACGACGTCTCAAACACAGCTAACCACTTTATTCAGTTCTCCCTCCTTTTATACATCCTGATCCCAAAATCGCCACCATAAAAAACACTCCAAACAAAGGCACCATGGGGACACGTCTTAACTTCGCAGCCACAACATGGTTAAAAAAAAAAAAAAAAAAAAAAAAAAAAAAGCCCAACGAATTATTTTGAACTGTAGCTTTTGTTAGTTCAAAATGTGTGTAGCTTTTGTTAGTTCAAAATGATTCGTTGGTTTTTTTTTTGTTTTTTTTTTAACATTGTTGTGGCTGCGAAGTTAAGACGTATCCCCATGGTGCCTTTGTTTGGAGTGTTTTTATGGTGACGATTTTGGGATCAGGATGTATAAAAGGAGGGAAAACTGAATAAAGTGGTTAGCTGTGTTTGAGACGTCGTCGTGTTTCTTCCACCCAGTCTCAGGTGGTCTAAAAAAAGGGTGTAGGCCCGTTTGTCATGTGCGCATTCGTCATAGGCTAACTGGTGATAGGCCCGTCCGTCACAGCGGAACATTCGTCATAGGGGAATTTGTCCCTAGGAACGTTTGTCACTGTGCGAACCGGATATTTGAATTTGCCCAACATATATTCACCTGGCTGTGCAAGCAATAAAGATTAGTACGATATATTTAACTTTACTAAAGAGAGGGAACATCCAAACAAGTCATCGTTGAACTTAGAAAACAACAGACTTATTGAGCGAAATAAAAAAAAAAAATTAAAAAGCGATATTCCGAGCTGCCACCCTCAGGGTTTCTAGACAATTGCGACCGTTGTAGCGGCTCACAATAATTTGAAGACGCCGGTTGCTGTCGTTGTGCTTCTTGAACACCCTTGAAGATGTCGTGCCGCTCTCTGCTTGAGCCAGCTTCATCTCTGTTAAGGACAAAAAGAAAAAAAGAACACACACACTCGTGGAGAAAGCTTTTTGAGTGGGCACCGTACTGAAATTTTGAGCCACAAATGCAAAAATGTACTACAGAAAGCGTCCAAGTTCTCAAAGAATTAGATCAGTTCTTACGTGCACTCCCCGGAGCCACGCTTCGATGCTGTTGTTCGTCCTTGTTGGCCTTTCTGCTAGTGTTGATTCTATGACTGACCAAGCCAGAGGAGGGGAGGTGGCCGACGACAAGCCGTTTCGACGGGGTCTCCCGATATACACGTCCTCGAAGTAGTCTGCCACGAGTAATTGGAAAACCTGGAGAAGTTCCTTGAAGGCCTCGGGAATGTCGGCGATTGCCAAGGAGGCCAATGCTGGATGCATTCCCATTTGAAAATCAACAAGAAATAAAGTAACCAATTGGCTTACCTGAAGACAACAATAAGACTTATAAATACAATGCCGCATACCAGAACAGCAAACTCGTCGTCTGAATTGTCTGAACTGAAAAAAACATCCCTGTATCATTGATGGCCTCTATCTTGAAGTCCGTGTAAGCCACCTCCAGGCAGTTGGCCCCCTATGTGACTCAGAACGACGTCGAAAAACCTTAAAACGAGCGAACATATTTTGAAGTGTTCGAACACATATCCAATAATAGGACCACCGAGCGTTTCGTCTCATACGTTTATCAGAGCTCTTGCATGCTCACCTTTCATAAGTAGCTTAAGATTTGTTGGGCAGCAAGCCGTAAGCCATTGGCTTTACCACGCCGTTGACTGGGGCATGCTCCCTGTACGGTTAGTAGAACTGTGCCGGGGTCGGTGATAAAGTTGACAGTGGTTCCAGTCCAGGTGTAGCCCGAAACAATGTTGGCTGACACTTTGTGCGGCTTTTGTCTCTGTAAAGGTTGAAAACTAAAAAAAAACTAAAAATAAAACTAGAAACGTTCGATCTGAGTATAAAGCTGATAATCAGGGTATCGTTATATTTTATTTCGTGTGCTCTCCTGGCAGAGTATCGTTTTATTATAAGCGTGCTGCCCATGCAGTTAAATGCTTTCCGTGAATAAACCTTCAACTAAACGTAAACGTGCAAACGAGCTGGTGTGAATTGCACATTACTGAAATCCCCAGACAGCTGGTAAAAAAAACGACACGGACACTTAAGTGTTTTAAGTGTCGGTCCTTTACCTCCAGTGTCATGTTTTCGGTCTTGTACATGAGTAAAACTTTTCAGTAAGTCGCATACCCATTTGTTTTTATTTCTTTTTATACCAATGGTTTTTATTTCTAGTAATTGAACTCCACCTTAAAAACAGTTTCACAAGTGACTATCTTAGTCTTAACAAATGTAAGGTAAAAATCTATAAAGCACTGTTATGTCTCAAAACTCGATACAGAAAGATTCGATGAAATGGCCCTTAGCGATTCGATGAAACGGCGTTCGATGAAAGGGCGTTCGATGAAATGTCCATTCATTCGATGGAACGGCGTTCGATGAAACGGCGTTCGATGAAACGGCGTTCGATGAAATGTCCGCTACCCGGAGTTGTCAAATGCATGCGTATGGTCTCCTGAATAAGAGATTGCACGAGTCTTGGCGTGATCGGTGACTATTTTAGTTTTACAAACTCCTCTTCGCCGGCAGGCCCAATACAACGTAGTTTCGTAAACCTTAATGCAAGTGTAGGAATGTCCTTCGTGAAGAAGCATATCGCCACCTCTCTTAGTAGTAACTATTTCCATTTAGAAATCGAGACTCGTGATATTTTTGTAATCGGAGGGCAACCGGCATAATAAACCCTAAAACCGGGCACAAAAAAAAAAAAAAAAAAAAAAGAATCTCGTTTGGTGGGCTTTTTTTATTGTGAACTTTATGTTCTCTAAGGTCTTTTGTAAGAAAGGTCACTGGCCTTGTACGGATTTAATTAATTGGCCCCCTTTCGTAACTTTCCTAAGAAAACAAGATATAAAAAAAAAAAAAAAAAGTTTAACAATCTTGAAGTCATTGTGTGACGAACTGCCAGCGTGACGAATCACCCTATGACCAATGTTCCGCTGTGACGAACGGGCCTGTTACCAGTTGCCCTATGGCGAATCGACATGTGACGAATGGGCCGTATCCCCTAAAAAAAATGGTAAACTTACACCAGCTCGCCTGCGCCCTGTTTTTTCGATATCTGGCTCTTGGCAGATATCGAGCTTCCGGCGTGCGCTTTGCGAGCGGATTCCCGACGAACTGGCCTATGAGCCTACACCCAGAATTGCCTCTGCTTCCTTTTCCAACTACCAGTGACATCTCGGTATAACGAACTTCAGGGGGCAGCGGAAAATTGTTCGTTATTCTAAAAGGTCCGTTTAGTGAAAACTGCGAAATTCACCATAATTACTTATTTTCCAATGATTAAAACGTCCTATCTTTACAACGGTGGGTGCTTGAACTCGTTTTTCACAGAGATTCAGAAGTCAACATCAGACAAAGCACTAATCGGGGTTTTTTTTTTTTTTTTTTTTGATGCGTGCAGCGCAAATTTGGCGGTCTTGGCTAACCGAAGAGATAGCTGACGAAGAAATTTTCCCTTCCAATAGGATAGAACTACGCATGGTGGTGGCGTTTTTTTACTAATCGCAAACGACCTTCAGAGTTCGCAAATAAATGTTCCTTGTTCATCGTGTGAATCGGTTTGGTGTAAAGGCCCGTTCACACTCTTGCGACCTCTTAAACCTGGGTTCCTTAAAACTTCTTAAGCCAGAGAACACACTGGCGCCATCTATTGGGAAGCAGTGTAAACTCGGCGGTCCGGCATATTTTTTTTTTATTTCTCGCGCATTATCCTTTCTTTTTTTGGCTCGAAAAACTTTTGTCAATGTTATAAACGGGCCTTTCTATGGGTATTACGCACATTTGACTTCGGAAATCCCGCAAAACCTTCGCTCTTGTGAAATGCAGTTCCAGGGTCACCGCATAGATGGCACCACAATGCCAGTGTGTTTCCTCATTCTAAAAACATTTAAGGAGTTTTAAGAGACCTCGTCTCTCTCAGTCGTACTCGGTTGCAAGAGTGTGAACGGGCCTTAAGATTTATCTAAATTCCGGGGAAACCATAGCTATCGGATCATACTATCGGCCTCCCAGCGCAACCCGTGAATCACTGTTATCCCTATCTGACGAGCTGTCTTCCATTTCAAGTGATTATCTTGTACTTGGGGGTGACTTTAACCTGCCTGACATAACATGGCATGATAAGCAAATGTAATCTACCGGCTCTTGGATATTATACGCGATATTTTCTCTATTCTTTCAAGCTTTGGGTTATCTCAATACGTCACTGAACCAACCAGAGTGGACTTCAATAGAGCAAGTACACTAGACCTCCTTCTTTGCGATTCCAGAACAGCTATTTCTGCTGTCACTCGCCTTCCGGGGGTTAGCGATCACGACATAGTTACAGCAAGTATACAGTGTAAACTTCCGCTATCGGCTCGGCAGCCCCCTGCGCAGGATTTATTTTTACGATCAGGGCAATTACGCTAGCCTTGCTGACGAAATTGTAACATTTTTTTGCCATTTTTGAAATGCACAGCTATGAGATGGACGTTGAAACCCTGTGAAACATTTTTAAAACTAAGCTTACTGCCTTAATCGACACTTGCATCCCACACAAGCTAATCTCTCCAAGAAAGCAAAAAAAACAAACCTTGGATAAGTAAAGAGTTACGGCAAATTTTGAGGAAAAAGAAGCGTGCATACTTAACTTTCCGCAGGACTTCTATTGCCGCGTCCCTCACTCGGTTACGCGACCTAAATAAACTCTACAAAAGGTAACTCAAATTAGCTAAAAATGTTTTTCAGGGCACTTTAAGTGATCGTCTTAAAAGGAGCCCTAAAGAATTCTGGAAACTGGTAAAAAGCAA